TTCAACCAAAACTAACCCATGGCACCTATCAATAAATTGTCCACGTTTTATTTCACCTCAAAATCAAAAGAGATGCTATTAAACAAATATTCAAAATATTTGTTTAATGGCATATTTTTACCAAGTAAAAGACAATATCACTGATAATGAAGACTCCATTAAATAATTTCCCTCAGTTTCTGGGAATAAAATGGGTAATAATAAACAAATAAATTAACAATCAAACAAACAATAATTAAATAAATGCTTTGTATCGATTTGTTAATTTGTATTAAAATATACTTTTTTTCTGCAGTCTGGTAGTTTTCTTTTCTTTTTCACTGTCATTATTTATCTATAATCTCTACTTTTTTTCCCCTTTTTATTTAAAGAGTAAAACTGAAAGGAATGAACACACAAATCCATCAAATGTAAAACATCCCCAAATGTATTACCATAATGAGAATCTGGGGGTAAAATGTTCCTAATTGTCATGGGATAATGTCACAAGGCTCAAACAAATAAACAAACACATACATAAATAAATAAATATTACGTATTGTTATACTATTACAGTGTTCAGGTGGTTTAGCAGCTGACGTACCACAGCTCACAAGACAAAGATGAATCTGAATGACTTTAATTCACTATATTTATTAAAATAACTTAATAATGATTACTAAAGCACCAAAATCAGAATTAGTAACATTGCTTCAAAAAGCATTGAGACCACATTTCAGCTGGTTCGTCCCCGAACTTGACAGAGACATTAGGCAATTACATGCAGGTTTAGAGGACTGCAATGGTGCCAACATCCTTTTAAAGCCTGGAGGTATTTTGACTGAGAAATCCCAGTGATGCACTGAAAGCAAGGTGCAGCATCAGATTACTATGGCCTGAGCCAAGCCAAAGCACTCGCCTGAACGCTTGCAGCCAGTTTCCCCTGTAATGAGAGCCTTATGGCAACTGCAGCTGCAATACCTGCACAGCATGATGGATGAGAAATGCCCCTCAAACACAAAGACACTCACACAGATCATCTTATATCAAGCTAATATGAACATTGCATTGAGCATACAAATGGTGTCTCTCATAAAGTCACATAAAAGAAGTTTTTCTCATAATGGCATATCATTTTGGAACCCATATTTTTGCATTTTTGATAACACTCCATTAGACTGGGATCTGAGGGTGAGTACTGGAGAGTAAATTGGTTGTAATGGAATGTTATGGATATATGAATGTCAAGCCCATGATCTAGACTAGAGCAATGAAAAGACATCATGTCATCTGCTGATGTCTTATGTGAGTATGTGAGCATGTTTCTTGTTACTAGTTGTCATATCTGCTTCAAAAGCATACAAGGAGGAAACGCCACAAAACAGTTCCGGTGTCTTTCTTATGTCAGGGTTTGAATATGTTGAGGTTGTAATATTTAGGTAACATGACACCAGAACAGTCTGTCCCCTGCATAGTAATTTTATTTTGGCACTAGAGGGTACTGTTCTACAAGCTCGTTTATTATGAAATTCAAATGACTATATAATATTTAGTCAATAATATTACAGGATACATTTTTTTTTTAGCTTCCTCATCTCCTGATACTGAACATAAACGCTCTCTAATGCATTTAACTAGTTAATGTAATTAAAAATCCAAGGTTTTAGAATGGAACCGTGAAATAAGCATTATTACATCCCTGTTACGTTTCAAATGTAGTTTGATAGTTTTGAGAGTAAAGCAAGATGAGAGAAATGAAACCCCAGCAGTTGTACTACTGTGATAGACAATGTTTATATAACTTATATACAATATATGTAGTTGTTATTATTATTATGCACTATGTATATGCATGTATATTGTTTGTATACTACAATAATGTATATATTAATTATTAATGCTATTTCTGGTGCTTTAGATTATTAAATATAATGACAGTATTTATATATAATTTGTTTACCACTGCGAGTTATATATACAGTATACACACACACACACATACATATATATATATATAATTTATTTATTATTATTATTATTTAAATTTCAAGCACAATTTGAAAATATTCCAAGACTCGTCTGTGAAAGAGTTAACGTTAAACGTCAGTAGAAGAAAACAGGAAGTGGCCAAACCCTTTAACACAGTCCGATAACTTCACACAAATACCCACGGACGCACCCTTGCGGAGCATGACGGGTGTAACTCACTGCACCTCTTCATGATCGAGGTGGATGGGCGGGGATGTAAACCAGACTGTCTGTCGATCATCGAAGAATCTTCAGCAGCATCTTCATTATCAGATGCGCGTGTGATAATCACTGCGGTGGAGCCGCGGCACAGACTCAGTGAAAGATGAGGTGAGTTCATTACTGCGTCTCAAAACATATTGTACCACACCCACGGTAAATACCGAACTATTTGAAGTCGTCAATTTATTAACTATTTATAGTCACGTTCCGATTTTGGGGTGCCTGTTATGCCCAAAAATGCGGTCTAGGTAGGCAACCCATTAAAGGGGTCATGATGTTGCTAAAAAATAACATTGTTTTGTGTATTTGGTGTATTTAATGAAATGTGTTTATGCTGTTTAAGGTTCAAAAAACACATTATTTTCCACATACTGTGTATTTTATTGTTTCTCCTCTATGCCCCGCCTTTCTGAAACGTGTCGATTTTTACAAAGCTCATCGGTCTGAAAAGCGAGGTGTGCTCTGATTGGCCAGCTATCCAGTGCGTTGTGATTGGCTGAATACCTCAAGCGTGTGAAGGAAATGTTACGCCCCTCACCATATTGTGATGCCCTGTCCAGCCGGAGCGACGAGACAAAAACATTAAAACCCATTATAAACGAGGCATTTGTTGCATCCAGTGGGGACATAATTACGGATTATAATGATTTATACTGTCTTTTTACGCGTTGCGTTGCATAAACGCGCCACATAAACATAAAACCATGTCTGCATTTTTGATTGGAGAAATGACAAACGCTACTCTACACTGCTAAAAAATCGCGTTTGAATCGTCAGTGGCAAATTCTTTAAATATAAAAACATATTTACAGTCTGTGAGTCAGAACAGCCGGCATTGTAGTCTACTCTTCCAGGATCAGGAAACAGTCATCCATAAAATGCGCTGCACACATCTGAATATTTGGGTTGAACTGTTCTGGAACAGTGTTGAAAATACAACTTAACCACTGATTTCTAGTCGTGTCCTCTTTTGGAAGGCCAAACAAAGTAGTTTCGCTTTCACAACGAAACACAGCGTCTTCACGACATGACGGCAGCAACAATACTACAGCGAGAATAAAAGTTATGCCTTCTTTCTTTGCGTGAACATTTGGGCGGGGTTATGCAAATCTTCCCACATAATGACGTAGTTATGTCGGGGCGTGTTAGAACGAGCCGTTTTAGGTAGGTGTGGCTGAATCTTAACTTTTATAAAGAATATCTCTTTGGATTTGAGACTTTAGTCTTTGCAACTTTACAGATCTTCTTTATGCACCAAGAGCTTGTAACACTCCAAAGAGAAAGGAAAAATTGAAATCGCATCGTATGACCCCTTTAAGGCACTACCTGGTCTGTATTTGAGCTGATTTTCTTGTAGTGTGTTTGCGTGAAAATTAAGAATGTTAAATGTGTCTTTTATGCCTGAGAGTAACCGTACTAGAGTTACAATAACACTGACATTTATTGACAGAATTGTTTGTTATTAACACGGAAGAAGATCTACGACGTCACATCGGACAATGGACTTGCCCTGAATTGAATTCTAGTGTACTGCATACTGCCTATTACTTTTTACATGAAGAGAAATCTGCTACAGTGTCACATGGTTACAACGAGTAAATAGAGGTATTGTTATAAAGTTTGTGTTAAGTGAATCAAGGAGATATTAAAATGTACGCATTCTGGTTTCTCATCATATCGAACGCATTGCACTGTGGGATATCTAACATGCACTCTCTCCAAATGCTGTATGCCTGCTTTCCTACTAAACAGTTGGCGACAAAGTACGTAAACGTAAAATAGGTGAAGTACGCAGATTAATTCTTCCACCAAGATTCTGAAGTGCGCATCCAATGGACTCTCAGAGTAACTATCCCATGAGGCCACAGGAGAAGAGTCATGAATTTACATTTATGCATTTGGCAGACGCGTTTATCCAAATGCGACTTTCAAAAGGGAAACAAAAGCCATTCGTCAAGGAGCCAACAATATTTGAAATATACAGTGCCAGGTTTAGTAACTTTTTAACTAGATTCTAGTAAAGCAGCGTAACTGATGCTGTAGGTCACATGACAATGTCAGCATGGCTGATGTAGTATGTCTAAATTGCATTCTTACTACACACAAGCATACTATGTGGAACATACTTCTTTAAAGGCCACAAACTAAGTTCCTTATTAAATGTAGTACCTACTCACACATTATGTCGTTTGGGATGCAGCTATAGTATTTATCAGTGTATTGTACACTGCAAATTTTATGGATTTAGAAAATGTGCAGATTTGGTATAATATTATGCCACTGCTTACAGACTTACATGCATTATTCTTGTCTAGATAAAAGGTTATGATAATAAAGAATTAAATCAGACAATTTAAATCAGCTGTCCTGTTAAATTTGTATTACTTTGGCCAAACGGTGAAGTCTAAAAAAAGACAAACATCAAAAATAAGCACTGAATAGTTATTTACTAAAATGACCATAGAGCTGGATTATTTTTGGATCCTCATTTGGCAAGATTTCACTGCATCATGATATTAATTATTTTTGGCAAAGAAATGTGATTCACTTCCCTGTGCTCAAAACCAAAGTATATGCAAATAATGTTCACTGCTGCGAACTGTGACCCACTTTATGAGGTGTGACCAAGTGTGTTTTCAGGCTGATCAATAGAGATTCAGGACGTTAATCATATTCCTGCCAGACATTGATTCGGCACATTTCCTAATACTGTTTGGTTTGGGATTTGGTGTTTGCAAAAAAAAAAAAAGTCCTGCTTTTTGCTTTTTCAGTTATTTATACAAACACACGCACACACACACACGCATGTACTTAAACGGATTCAGCACATTTTCTAATACCATTTCTTCCTAAATCTTTATTCTTGTTCGGTCACAAGGGGTGAAACTCCAAAAGCAGTGCAAGCTCTCTGTCAAAAGTACAATGACGTGGCAGGAAAAAACTCGCAAGTGTCAGTGGACGTCACACGTGTCTCACCGATCAATACTGACTGGACAGACAGCGGACATTTAGGGCAGTGATGTTATGCACATTGATCGTGACAGAGGAGACAAATGTAAATAGCACAGATGTGTCATGGATAAAAATGTCACCGTTCTCTCCACCTCACGCTTTTATGACGTTCTCTATTTTTCTGACCTGTCGAGGCAGGCAGGGCCCTCTTAATCTAGCTTTATCCTGGATTATGTTATTATGACTTCTTCCCGTTTGGGATTCGGTCGCCATGCGGGACGTGAATGTTGACTGGAAGAATTCATAAAGCTGTGAGTTCATTCTGGGTGGAAGATCTCTTGTTCCTCCGGACCGACTCGTTTGGTGTTCCATTAAGAGAGCAGGCCGAGCAGGTTTTGAGCTGGTGTACACAACACAAATGAGATTAGACAGTCGGCTAATAACAAAGCTTCCGTCTAACAGTGAGTTTTTCCAGTCCTTAAATGCTTCTGTATTGTCTGCCTGTGATTCTATTGAAAACTGACTTCAGAAGAATGATTTCACATTTCTGCCGAAGAGCTTTCTTTCCATTATTACCCAATTGCAGCGCATAATAAGCATTTTGAAACCTTTCTGACGTTAGAACTAAAACGTTGCAATCCATCCACCTCCGCTTTGTTTGTTCCTCTCTTTAGAAGCATGGAGGACGGCACTCCACTATTTCTGAAGTTGAAGGGCTAAACAACAAGAGGAGGCAGGCATGGAGGCAGAAAAAGCCATGATCCTCTGCAAACTCTGCCTGACCGACTGTCCTGAGCTGGAGTCCAGCACACTGCAGTCCTGTAACTGTGTGTTCTGTGTGCAGGTAAGAGCATTGCTGAATAAATCTTTATCTTTAAAACGGAAGTGTGTTGTCATGCAGCAGAATATGTAGTTGCTATTACATACGCAAGTATTAGTGATATAGGAAAATCATGTTCACAAACATCGCTCCATAAGCAGGTGTTTATCTCTAGCTGTGGTCTGGTTTATTAGCACAAGCTTCACGGGAAAGGTGGAAATGCAGTAAACAAAGCACAATAGTGTTCAGTCTCGCCGAGCGGGGGATATTTTCTTTCACATGCCGTTTAAGATTAGCCAAATCTAGCCTATTTCTCTGAAACAAATCTTGTGGGTCAGACTTACAAATCATTTGACCTTTAATGGTTTTTAAGCCGAAGTGTGGCATTTTTAAGTTAAAACATTCTACTGGAATCCAACTTCCATTCAAAAATTGCTTCCCCTGAAAAGCATAAATATTGATAATACTCTATCAAAACAATGTTTAGCTAATTCTGAACATCGATTAACCTGACTAGGGATATAATAGTTAATGAAAACTAAAAACAGAATTAAAAAAAATTGCATTACTTGAAATGAAAGTGAACTAAAATCAAATTAAAAAGCTTGTTTTAATTCAGCTAGTTGCCAAGGCAACATTTTTGATGTACTAACATGACTAAAACCAAAACGGAAATTAATAATAAAAACTATATACACACATTCTTAAAACAGCACAAAAACGAATTGTAAAACTAAAATGGCAAAAACAAAATTACTAAAGCTGTAATGAAAATGGAAAATATAAAATATTACAAAAACTATAAAAGTATCTCATGATCAGACAGACAGACTGTACAAAAGTCACAGCTGTGTTGTGTTTGCAGTGTTTAAGGCAATATGTCCAGCTGGCTATTCGGGGCGGCGCAGGCAGTGCCATCACCTGCCCTGATCCGGCCTGCAAGAACACCGGAACTCTGCTGGACTCTGAGGTACTTCTGTCTATCTCGCTCGCAGTTCTTCTTTCTCAGTCAACAACAGTTTCCAGTTCCACAGTTGCACATGCTACAAATATTGACTGCGTAAACACTGGCAATACGGAAATCCTTCCACTACCAAACATCTATTTTAATTACTTTGAATCAATTAGACCTACGATTTACCTTCCCAACATCAACAACAACAAAAACTTGCATTTAAACGTTCAAAAGTTTGGGGGTCAAAACTGTTCAGTGTTTTTAAATAAGTCTCACCAAATGTTCACCAAGGCAGCATTTATTTGATCAGAAATACAGATAAAGAGTAATATTGTGAAATATTATTACAATTTAAAATAACTTAATTTTTTTTATTATATGTTAAAATGTAAATTATCCCCGTGATGGCATTATTCCAGTCTTCAGTGTCACATGATCCTTCAGAAATCATTCTAATATGCTGACTTGCTGCTCAAGAAACATTTCTTATTATTATCAATGTTGAAAACAGTTGAGCTGCTTAATATTTTGTAGAAACTGTGATGCATTTTTCAGGATTCTTTGATGAATAGAAAGTTCAAAAGAACAGCATTTATTTGAAACATTTGACACTTTTTAATAAATTAACTCAACCTTGCTGAATAAAAGACTTCTTAAAAGACCCCAATCTTTTGAACAGTAGTGTAAATTAACAGTGTTTGGGAGTTGACTCACAAAAGCAACCACTCAGAACACCCTAGCGACAAAATTAGCCTTAACCTTAGCAACCACATGACAATGCCATGGCAAATTAAAATAGATTCAAAGTGAACTCAAATGGCTTTGATGAAATTTGTCCGGGCTTGTTTAGCCTAAATTTTCATTTTGCTTTCGGTTGCCACAGCAAGAACACAATGGCTTTATTCATCATGAATGTTTTCCATCACTGTCGAATGTTTCCACACGTCTGAGTATTATTTTCCCCTCATGATCTTCACCAACCTGTTTTGTGAACTAATGCATCATAAATCAAAGTACAGTGATTCAACAGTAATATAAATATTACCTGGCATCATGACTCTGGTCTCTGGAAAACTTTGTTCTGACACTCAGACGTTTTATATACATGCTAAACTGTCTACATGGCACTTTTTTGACCTCTTTTGTCTTATTTCACAGTCAATAATAATAATTTCTACTCAAATCAACATCTAATTTATTTACTATGTAGATGTGTGATAAGCAGGATCATTTCACGAAATTGACCAGCTGACTGTATATTATGTCTTACATATTCATATGCAGTTCTGTAGCTCAAACATGACGCGTTCCGACATGACCTGAATATAAATTCATATCCTTCTTTGTACAGCTCGCCTTGTTTGCCCCCAGCGATCAGGTTGAGCTCTATCAGCGGCTCCGATTTGAAAGAGGTATGTGCTTGTCCATGTATGTATGCACGCATTTATGTGCCGCTTTCCATAGTGTTACTGTAACCATCACTGAAAATCCTAGAGGGACTATGATAGGCAGGAACAAACAGTTCTAGACAAGCAATGTGAGTTATAAAGAAGCATAATTTTATGCTTACTAGACTATTTATGTCAGTCAGTGATTATTGCTGATTTTAGTGATATAGTGTGTTGTTTCCATCTCTAGTTTAAAATTATAGCAATTGAAAATCAATCAAAACTAAGTTATGACAAAAATCAGATCTCTTAAGACTGTGATCTGTAGTGTGAAACATGCCGTTTGTTCAGAGTGTGAAAACTGATTTGAAATCAATATTCGATCAAAAAACATTTTCCTCAGTTCCAATGTTGGCATAGTTTTGTAGGACAGTACAGTCAGTAATTTTACCACAGCAGCAGCTTCTTGGCACATTAACTTGGCACAACTTGGTACCTTGGTGATTTAATATAAACGCTAAAAACATAAAAACTGAAATATCTTTGGATTGTGGGATATCACAGCAAGAGAAGGCGGCATTTTTGCTGCCTTCAAAAAAAAAACAGTCATCTTACACAAGATATTACTCAACATGACTTGATAGCTTCCTATGTCCGTCTATACCAGGGGTGCCCAAACTCGGTCCTGGAGGGCCAGTGTCCTGCAGAGTTTAGATCCATCCACAATTAGACACACCTGAACCAGCTAATCAAGCTCTTACTAGGCATACTAGAAACCTCCAGGCAGGTGTGTTGAGTCAGGTTGGAGCTAAACTCTGCTGGACATCGGCCCTCCAGGACCGAGTTTGGGCACCCCTGGTCTATACTGTCCACAAATGCCAATATTTTGAAGTTTCGGACACAAAAATGAGCTTATGGGCAATAGTTGTATATTTTAGAATCAGAAACGGTTTTATCCTACGGCTCAAGTGTGAGTGTGCTGCTGGTTGCTGGTTTGTGTCCGCCAGGGTCCAGCTCAGCGTTTATAGAAGCGTAAACAATGAGCTTATTCAGACAGAAGAAGCTGTGGGATTTTCTTCTTCCACTGCCTCTGTCTGCATCTCAGCTGCCCCCAAAATGCTAGGAATCGTCTAGACTGTCTGTGGTGTCAGAGTAAACTGTGACAGTATTTGCAGAAGTCTTCCTGAGACCGCAAGAACAGTAAACCTCAATGAAAAATTGTCAGTGAATTTTGCAAGCAAGTGAATTGGCTTTGCCACATTCCTTTTTTTTTTTTTGGCTTCGAATGTTTTTTTTTTAACCTCAGGTTTTTCTTTCGGTCTCTTTCAGGAGTTCAGTTAGACCCCAGTAAGGCTTGGTGTCCCATGCTGGACTGTCAAGCCGTGTGCAGTGTGACGCCCGGAACCGAAGGCAAACCGCTTCCTGTGCCCTGCCCCGCGTGCCATGCCGCCTTCTGCTGCGGCTGCAGAAGCCCCTGGATAGATGGTCACTCCTGCTCCCAGCACCAGCCGCTGATGGCACTATCAGCAGACAGGTCAGTGTGAGCGATTTACCACTGAACGAACAACTGTTCATCATTCAGTTCCATAACACGGCCCTGTAAACGTGCTCTGTGTGTCGTCTCTGCAGTGCACTGAGCAGCGCTGATACTGATGCAGCCATTAAACAGTGTCCAATGTGTGGCGTCTATATAGAGCGCAATCAGGGCTGCGCGCAGATGCTCTGCAAGAGCTGCAAACACACGTTCTGCTGGTACTGCCTACAGAATCTGGATGTAAGTGATTCTAGGGGTTTACAAATGTTCTGCCACCAACATCACAGATTTTGGACACTACGACAATAGAAATACCATGGTATTATAAAAGTACCATGGTTTTTACAATGAATGATCAATCACAGTACCACATTAATGTATATTTTTTGGGACTAAGTACCATGATTAAACCATGATATTAAAAGCAATACACTATGGGCACACCTTGATTTTTGGACATGCGTATAATAATAACAACAACAACAATAATAGTTATTATTATTATTACAATAATTTAAAATTAAAACATTTAAATATTATAATTAAAAATGAAAATTAATAAAATTGAAAGTATTATTAAAAGAAGAATAATTATAGATAAATATTTCATTAAATATTTTATTTAAATTCAATTTTAATATAATAATAATAATAACCATAAAATGTGATGATTTTTTTCTATTAATTAAATTTTAATATATAATTTTTGTATAAATTTTTATATTTGTAACAATTTTACTAATAATAACAACAACTTTCCATTTTAATAGTCATTTATTATTATTATTATTATTACATCGTTTAAAATGAAAACACATTTATTATTATAATTGAAAATGAAAATTAATTAAAAAAATTATAACTATCTACTGATAATAATATGAATAATAATATATGGACATATTTAAATATTTAATTACATTTCAAGAATAATATAACAAATTAATTCAATTTGAATATAATATTATTTTTTCAATTGTAATAATGATAAAAATAAAAAAAGTATTATTATTACAATAATTAAAAATGTAAACATTTAATAAAATATTTATAAATATTTCTTGATAATATGCATGATAATATATTAATATATTTAAATAAATATTTATAATAATATATAATAATAATGTAACAAAATTTATTCATTTTTAATATAATATTAATTTTCAATTTTAATAATATTTTACATTTTTGTTTGTTTTGCCATTTATCATTTGTAAGCCTTTTTGGATAAATGTGTCTGCTAAATGAGTAATATCCCTGTGGTTACAGGGCGATATATTTCTGAGACATTATGATAAAGGACCATGCCGAAACAAGCTGGGGCACTCCAGAGCTTCCGTCATTTGGAACAGGATACAGGTTAGCTGGAATGCCAATTTGCACTGTTTTTCATTATGTCAGACATTTACCAATTTCCAAATGTCCTTGATGTCTAGTTTTAGAAAGCACCCATCTTTGCAGCTTTTTCAGTTGACAATTTTTTTTAATCAGCAAGCTTAGACCGTTACTATCATGACGTTAGATGAAAACTACTCACATGCAGTGAGATCCCAGTTGAGTTTGTGTGTTTTGTGTCGTTGTGATGTGTTCAGGTGGTCGGTATACTGTTGGGCGTCAGCATCATCGTGCTAGTGACGTCACCACTGCTGCTGCTGGCCTCTCCCTGCATCCTGTGCTGCGTGTGCAAACCCTGCCAGGCCAAGAAGACCAAGAAAAAGAAGAAAGACAAGAAGCCATCAGATTCCACCGCATAGGAGAACTCCTAATAATCAACATGTGTAGCATCCTCCACGTGCCACTCCTCAGTCTCGCTAGCCAGGCGCACAAGTGCCTCACTCTCAGTGCCTGGTAAATTCAGTGGATTCATTTTGCCTTCAGGTGCATTATGGGAAAAAGAAGCTTGTTGTTTATTGAATAAACAGCATCTGTAAAGGAATGGCCCTTACTCCACTAAGCCAAAACATTTGTTTATGTGAGCTATAGAGGTTATATTAAAAAAAAATGATTAACTGTAGCAATGAGTTAAACTCTTTTAATTTCCATGTAGCCTTCCAGACCAAAGGCCCTGCTGTTTTTTTCTTGTGTACTGTAATATGTAAATACTGTATTTATGAGTCTGGGAACTGTCCTGTGTTCTTTTTACATTTGTTGATTTTTCGGCATCAGATATTTTATAACTTCATTACAATAAACTAAACACCTGAGCAGTGAAAGTGGCCAGTTTCTTTGTGTTCTTATGCTAAAATGGTTAGAAAACATAATTTTGTAACATTAACATAAACATTTCAAGTTATGAAACATATACACACACATAGTAATATTTAACAATAGAGGCAGTTTTTTTAAATTATTTTAGTTTTAGGGCTCATACTCTAGAGAAACAGCATGAAAACGAAAGCATTTCTCGCACAGAAAACAGTTGTTGTATTGTATTGTATTTCATACCCAGCTGGGGAAATTTACAAAAGAGTTTCTGCTTAAGTGAGTCCGTGAATATTCCTGCTTCTTTCGGTTTCATTTTTGTTTTCCTGGTTTCATGCTTTCATTTTCATTTAAATAATGCGTTCTTTTTATATTTGAGGTCTAGTTAACTTTTTAAATGCCTCTTGAAGACGAGAAAAGGTGGATAAGATTGAAAACAGTGTGACAAGGCCTTTGAGAGTGTAGTCACTTGATGTAGAGTTCATGGCCTGTCTGTTCCTGTGGATCATCATTGTAGATATTTTGAAGCATTAATCTTAATTTTTCAGTATGATGACTAAGGGAAAGTCAAGAAGAGTGAAATCTCCTAATGAGCATGTACAGTACTAAGAAAAAGGTATCATAATTATTTTTCCATATTAGAATGTAATTACACTTCTTCGTATGGGTCTTTATTCTGGTTTATAATTTTGTTCTGAGTTAGATTTAACTTGGAATTATCATTCATTTGCAACAAAATAAAAATGTCGTTAGTCTGAAATGCTGCTGTTATTGAGACATTATTGGGTAAAAAGCAATAGAGACACCGTGTGGTCACAGGTTGAACTGCAGACATTGATTTGTTTCTACCACAGTCTATGGTTTCTACGAAACAAGAATTATGTGAAGTATGAAGTATGATAAGAAGTATGTGAGTTAGAGAAACACGAGTTTTAAAGAACGCTGGATATTTAAAAAAAAAAAAAACACAGTGATGAACTAAATAATTGATTTAAGTTTTTTTTTATTTTATTTTTTTTAATAAAAAGTAACAGTAGGCTAATACCATGTAGCAAGTGAACACCCTGGCATATAAGTTAATAGTTCAGTTAATCATACAACCACACAACACGTTTTTGTAAGAAATGAAGGCACGTCTAATGCAGTGGCGGCTCGTGGGTTTTAAAATAGAGGAGGCACACTAATTGTATTGGTCTGGGATCCCTGCCGATGGCTTTTTGGTTGCTTTTAGTCAGAAAACGACATACATACAGCAAGATAATATAATTTCACTTACCTGGCCTATCATTTGAAGCAAACATCCATCCCTTCTTAAAAGTCTGTGTTAAAAGAGCTGCCTGTGGCGCCATTTAATTAAGCCGACTGCTGTAAACTTCTATATCAACTAGCGGTTGTAATTACATCAGCAGATTCGGCACATTCGCGATAGAAAAGCCTCGTTTTCACGTTATGCTATTACAACTGTGAAATTACAAACAAAAAATACACATTCTGAGACATGAACTGAAATGAATTGTGAATTTTATTAACATTAAATCGTTTTCACCTCAAAATGATGGGGAAGCTGTGCCTCCCCTGACGAGCCGCCACTGGTCAAATGAAGCTTGCATATTAAGACGAAGTCAGATACAAAAATTGTCAAATAATTTGCCTAGCTCTTTTTAATGTTGAAATAAATATTTTTGCAATGTTTTTTTTCACTATGCTGATTCATTTGAGCAGCACAAGAACGTCCCTCCTGCTGCAGAGCTGCTATGGCTTCCAAACATCCTCAGAAAACGTTCAGTGTCAGTGAGTAATTCTGATTGTGAGAGCATCTTCTTGACGACTCACTCGACTGTGAAGAAGACCAAATGAAAAGGCCAAACTACGGTGGCAGAGAAGTGCTAAACCAATCACAATTCTGAAAACAAAATAAGTCAGAAAACACAAAGACAAATCCGAAAACAAATTAACAAGTCAGAAAACACAAGGACAAATCAGAAGAGGTAGGTATAGTTTGAGACAGCGCCATTGGTTTGGGATTACTCACCGCTGACTGGACGAGACATCTGTCAATCAACATATGCAGGGAAGAACCAGCCGAAGAACAGCAGAGTCGTGGTAGAAAGTTCGGAGATGGTATTAAAGTAGCTCAGTTTAAATGTATTGTATGGCTAATAGATGGCTAAACACGGGTTGTAGGTTTTTTGACGCGATCAACCCGTGTTCGATCCCGTCTTTTACCGAACTTTTTTTTCCTCCCTTTTCAAATCTCGTATTAGCAATGGATTATATTTACACTAAGGGAAGATAGCAGTATTTTTAGCAATATGCTATTTACACTATGTTAAAATAGCAGGATTTCTACTATCAAGTATAATACTTGTTACAAATAGTGGCAATTATCTGCACTTTAGTATTGTAGTACATTATAAAACAGTATGCAATAATAACGTATTGAGTGTAAATTATAATTTTAATTTTAATTATTAAATGGATGCCACCTTATTGGTACAATAAAGCCCTCCCTACACCTACCCTAACCCTACCCGATACTTTATTTTCGACTTTTTGATTATTTGCTTAATTTTTATTGAAAATAACTGCCTTTACGATGTGATACGAGATTTGAAAAGGGAGAAAAGAAAAGTTCGGCAAAAGGCGGGATCGAACCCGGGTCGATCGCGTCAAAATACCAACAACCCGTGTTTAGCCATCTGCGCCACTGGAGCTGATGATTTACAGGTGATTTTAACTAAATGAAAATATACACTCCGTATTTTATATTCCATAGTAAGGGCAATTCACACAATACATTTAAACTGAGCTACTTTAATACCATCTCCGAACTTTCTACCACGACTCTGCCGTTCTTCGTCTGGTTCTTCCCTGCATATGTTGATTGACAGATGTCTCGTCCAGTCAGCGGTGAGTAATCCCAAACCAATGGCGCTGTCTCAAACTATACCTACCTCTTCCGGTTTGTCTGATTTGTCGTTGAGTTTTCTGGCTTGTTAATTTGTTTTCGGATTTGTCATTGTATTTTCTGACTTGTTATAATGTTTTCTGAATTGTTGTTGTGCTTTCTGAATTGTTATTTTGTTTTTTAGACTTGCATTTGCGTTTGTAATTTGTTATTTTGTTTTCAGAATTGTGATTTGTTTTGCACTTCTCGGCCACCGTACCAAACTCATTCAAACACACAGACGCTTGAAATGCACAACACAGCTGGCCAGCATCAAACATGATTACAGTCATTAGACGGGGGTGGAACTGCCCTTTGCAAGGAGTTGAAAATAAATACTGTGTTTGTGAAGATTTTAGGGTGAACATTTCTTGAAAACATGTCCGTGTCATTTCATCCTTAAAAAAAAGAAGAAAAAAAAGTCAATTTTAGATAAAATTAAATGACTGTTATTACTTTTAATGCGTCCAGAGTTTTTGTTGTAGCCTATTTAAAATGTTATTATTTTCAGTGTTGATTCTCTTTAGATTATATTTGCTGTATTCTCCATTTAAATAATCATAAATTAAAGCTAATACAACAGAATGTATACACAACTCTGCAAGCATGACTAAAAAATAGGCCTAACTTACCTATAAAACCCTTGTTTTATGGTGTGAGGTCAAGGTTTTCTTTTTTTCATCATTATAAGCTGTCATTTTACATAGTGTCATTTGTTTTTATTAATCATGAGTTTTCTGGTCTTCCTTGTTTACTTCAGTGTGTGATCTTGAGTAGATTATGTATGCTAAATTAGTTTTTCTCGTTGATACCACAATGGAAATGACACTATATATGCTTTTGCCAGAAATAAATAAGCTACTTTAGATAGACTACATAAGTGTGTCTACTGTTCTGTTCTGCGTGTAGGCTGCTATAACGACATTTGGAACCATCAATGTATTTTATCATTTATTTGATGTAATTTCTGCACCACTCAACTTGTTATTGCTAAACCTGTAGAACTAGCCTATTTTTTCATATTGGATTGTAGAAATAACACTATTTTATATAATAATTACATTATTTGCGTTTATTATAACTGGGAAAGCATTTAACTATTTTTTCTAGTTAATAAATGTGTTTTAGCCCTTTTTAAAACAACTTGCACTTTTAAGACGCTCGTAACATCTGCCAAACGCAACCTCTCTGTGACGTCACATCATACTGCAGTCCATTCGCCAACCAGCAGCCTTGGATTGGCCAATGGCCAGATAGCGTGAGCTCTGCTCATCGAACACGCGCAGCTGATTGGTTCGTTCTAAACAGAGGAGGCGGGACGCTGCTGTCTACAAACTGTAAGAGGATCCGCGCCCTCATTATCATAAATTATTCAGCTTCACCTAGAAGCATCGCACCAGCTCGAGTGGACGCATGTGCTGGATATTATACTTACTTTTTATTTATAATTTTTATAATAAGAGGATTTTCACTGAATTCATGACCTAAATTATTTTGAAAAAAGGATACTATTTTCCCCCACAGTTTTTACATGGACAAATAACTCTAAAATCTATTTTCTGATCACCTGTGCTTGTCATTTGAGACTGTTATTGACATTTTTGAACGACATAAAGCTGTCTTTTATTTAAAAGTTTTTTGTTTTGATATTTGAATTGATTTTCAACATGTGGACCTTTCTTGGAATTGCAAGTTTTACGTATATCTATAAGAAATGCGATGCCCTGGTGAGTCGCGCGCCCAGTGCGCTGTCAGTGGCCGCGGTGCTGTGCGTGTCTGTGGGTCTGATGATCACGTGTCTCGGCTTTCGCCAGACGCTCAAAGCGCCTCAGTTTCTCCTGATGCCTCTCAAACTCTTGACTAACGTTACATTCCCGCCGACCAAAAAACTCTTCTCCAAGTCCAGTACAGACAGTTGTAGTCGCACTTCTAAGAAGGTGAGATAGTGTTTTTGATCATACATTGTCTTTGTGCTTTTATAGATGTTAATTAATTTCCATGAAATCTATTTCGAGCTATTAATATTACTGGAAATATTTCACCACTAATAACGAGTCATTACTC